GTGGAGGGTAGAGACATGAAGCTGATGTTGGGAACACCTAAGAGAGCAAGGTAGTATGGGTAAAGGTCAGGAGGAGCTAGGGAAGAGAAGCTCTTCTCCACTTCAGAGGTTGCTTATGCCCTGAAACATGAATGTTTATATCCTTCCAAAATGTTTGTTTAAATTTTACTATAATACTGGAAATTCTTATCCATATAAATGTCCAGCCCTTATTTTATTTTTTTTCAATTTTGCTAATCTCCTGGCCTTGGCGATATCTTGTGGCAGTGAGTTCCACCGGCTAATTTTATGATGTGTGGAAAAATATTCAGTCTACCATGAAAGCAGCCCATCTGTCAGGGTTGAGGCACATTTCTTGGGTATCGTGCAGGGGAAGCTTCACTGCTGCTTCTGCCTGTACAGTATCACTTCTGGAGATGAACGGAGGACTTCAGTTTCCAGGGCTGTCAGTGTGGCACCTTTCAACTGTACTCTTTTTTTGTTTTTTTAAAGCCTAACTATGATTTAAGATGTGGAGAGGTTTACTAATAAAATGAGAGATTAAAAGAACTAAAATACAGGCTAAATAACAACTATGGAGATGCATGATAGTTGTCTGCAGATATTTGTAAGGTGGAAAGACCAAAAGAGGAAAAGTCACTCTTGAGTGTGGCCTCTAGGGGTCTAACTATAGTAAGATTATTGGGATGTAATTGAACAAAGGAAAAGTTGAGACTGAGTATCAGGTGAAATGCTCTACGGGTAAGAGCTGTTGGATTGTGGAATGGCCTCCCCAGGGAAGTTCTGGGGAGAGATAGGATGACTTAGTAGGTATTTTCCATCTCTAATTGCTTTGATTCTGGAATTAGATCTCACTTGGTGGTTTTGTGAACGCCATGTGAGGCAGAACGGAGCATAGCTTGTTGTCTTGTGGCTAGTGCTAAAAACCTGTTTGTCTCAGTAAGATAAATAGTTATACGGATGGTAGAAGCCACATCTATCCATGTAGGCATTTCTATCACACTGCTCGCCATACCAGAGTATGGGAGCACTTATGGGCACTCCTGTGGTATTACTGCCACAGGCTCAGTTTTTCCATTCTAATCATTGTTAAAAGCACAGAGTACACTCTTTGGGGCAGGGACTGTCTCTTGCTGGGCACGCCTTCACTGAAGTGTTAACTCCAGTTATCTCCACTGGAGTTACTCAGCTTGAGCGAGAGAAGTCACAAGGTGAAATGACACTCCAGCTGCTGTGGTGTGTGGCATGCTGAGACTTCTGAAGGCATGTCCCCAGGGTTGCCAACCCTCAAGGATTGTCCTGGAGTCTCCAGGAATTAAAGATTAATTGTTTAATTAAAGATTATGTCATGTGATGAAACCTCCAGGAATTCATCCAACCAGAGTTGGCAACCCTACATGTGCCATGCTTCTTAGCACTGCTTAGTAAACTGAGCCGCTCTGTGTATTCTTTCCCAGGGAATTGTGGGAGAACTTGTCTGCCCTTTTTGGGCACATGGGGCATTGTGGGAAGGCATTGGAGGACTAGCGATGCTCGAGGAGCTAACCTGCTTCCAAACTGCAGAGTGGTCATGTTAGCAGCTGACAAGTTTTAGCCTATCCCCCCCGCTAGGCCAGCCAGCTTGAGTTAACAGCAACCACACTTGAGTTCAGTGTGTGTGGACAGAACTCAAGTTAGGGGCAGCAATCAAGTTACAAGTTGAGTTAACTCTGATTGAAGAGAAGCCCACTGTGTGTTTGTATAGCATGTCCCACAATGGGGCTTCAGTCTCAGGTGGAGCCTCTGGGCACTGCTCTAATACAAATAATAGCTACATATTGTACCAGCCCTCTGGACAAATGGAGGACTTCATACTCCATAGCTGTTAACTTGGCACCTCTCCTTAGTGCTAAATGTCCTTATTAAATTGTGTGTGTGTGCGTGTGTGTGTGTGTGTGCGCGCTCACACATGCACAATGTAATCTTAGCTGCTGTGGAGAAACAAGCAACTGCATTGACTTCAGCCACATGCCGAGCTCAGGAAAATCCAGCTCCCACTGTCATGGTTTGACAAGTAGTAGTGGGAAATTCTCAGACCATCCAGGAAGGAAAATATTTTCCAGTTTCTAGCAGGGCATTGCAAATACAGGAGGGTGAGAAGCAAATGTGAAGGGATGTAGGGAAGATTTGACAATGCCCACTTACATCAGACTGCAGGATGGTGGTTGGGTTGATACAGATGCTCTGCCTGTGTTTGGTGCCAGCTGTAGACCTTCTCCAGTCCTCTTATTTGTTTTGTCCACATATGGCCCCAGTGAAGTGAATTTTCTCCGGTACTGCTAGTCCCTGTGTGCACCTGTTGGGCTGTGTGACTCCAGTGACATTTCCTGGGGACCGGTGGAGTATGAGAAGATAGATTTGCATCAACATCATGTGTGCATTCTACCTGGATCACCATGCAATTTAAAAGGCAGCCTATTAAAAACTTTGAAAGGAAATATATTTTCCCCCTCTCCCATACACAACTCATAATTAACCTGTGAGACTCATTGCCACAGGATACTGTTGTGGGCCAAGAGCCTAGCAGGATTCAGGAAAAGCTTTTGATAATTAGATGAATAATAGGACCACGCACAGTTATTTTAGGTAGGATTAAAAATGTATAGAGGATAGAAAACTGTATGCTTTGGGCAACCACTAATGGCCTGGGGATACAAAGTAAATTCCTCTACAGGCAGTTTATTCCAAAATTGCCCATTATGTGGGCTTTCTTGGGATTCTTGCATCTTCTTCTGAAGCATCTGGTGCTGGCCACTAGCAGAGATGGGATACGGGCTAGCTGGATATCAGGTCTGAGGACTATGGAAATTCCTATGTGTGCCACATTCAGCAGCGTTGCAGGCACAGTCTCCATAGGCGTATCAGCACATTTGGCAATACAGTAGGTGTGTTTTTTGCAGCTATATGTGGAATGTTCAGCAGAACGTCAGATGTGTTCTATCCAGAATTGGACCCAAGCTGCAGCAATTTGATCCAGGGCTCTACTTCAGTCCATCTCAGGCATAGGGGCCAGCCACCAAATTTAGATTAAAAAATTCCAAACAAACCCATAGCCCCCATGTTAGTGGGTGCTTGGATATGGGGTTTTGGTTCAGGTGCATTGGTTGGCCAAATCCAGGTATATCTGGAATTGTCAGCAACATGAAATGTCTATTCCAAATATACCTGGAAGATTTAGTACCAGTCAAAGTGGCTGCTAAATCAAGTCACTGCTAATGGGGAAAGCCTATTGGTGGGGTGTTGGCATGGGTTGAATGGTGGCAAGCCATGTGTGTTTGTGGGTGTGTGGTGGCATAGCATGTGTGCCTGTAGGAAAGGGGCATTGTGGGTGTTTTGGCTTTGGAGAAGAAGGTGTATATGCTGCATGGCCATGTGTAAGGTCCTTTATGGAAGAGTCCTATAGAGCATAATAGCAAATGAGAACCTAAAGATCTTTTTCATCTGTCCTATAGGATTTAATTCGTTATGAAATTTTGGGGGGTGGTTCTAAAAGGCCTATAGAAGGAGTCTCTTTCTATCATATTCTGTAGGCTTTTGGAAGTAAATTCTAGACAGCCCTATTACATTTCTATAGGATCTAATTTGTGTCATCTCTGGTAAATTGCACTGGACTCTTCCAGAAAGCGTGGCAGGGCGTGTATGTTCTTCGGTGGTTCGTGTGTTCCTAGAAGGAGAGGGTGGGTGCACATGTTGGGTGACTGGTGTAGAGCTATGTGTGTGGTTTGTAGGATGGCGTGGTTGTTGACAGGATGTGTGTGTGTTGGCGGGGGGGACTTGGTGGCAGCATGGTGGGGAGGAGTTGGGGAAGTGGGCGTACGTGTGGGGTGGATGTGGAGACAGGTTGTGTGTGGTTACAGGGTATGTGTGTTTGGGGAGATTGGGAGGAGGAGATGTGTTTGTGTTACGGCAGGGGTTCTCAAACTGGGGGTTGTGACCCCTCAGGGGGGTCACAAGGTTATTACATGGGGGGGGTCATGAGCTGACAGCCTCCACACCAAACCACGCTTCACTCCAGCATTTATAATAGTGTTAAATATAAAAAAGAGAGTTTTTAATTCATAAGGGGGATCGCACTCAGAGGCTTGATGTGTGAAAGGGGTCACCAATACAAAAGTTTGAGAACCACTGTGTTACGGGGACAGATTGGGGAGGTGAGGTGGAAGCAGGCAGTGTGCGTTTGTACTGGGTTTGGTAGCTGGGTACGTGGGGGTGGGGGTGGAGTTCGAGGTTGGGGAGGAAGATGTTTATGCAGGGTGTCTGCGAGGTGGCAGGGTGAGTGTGGTTCATGGTGGTGGGTGGCTGCAGGATTTGAGTGGGAGAGGTTGGGGAAGTGGGTGTGGGCAGCAGAGGTGCAGGGGGCATCAGATGTTTAATACCAACGATGAAACCTTCCCTTTCTGACTTGTCACCTAGATCTCCTACCCCCCAAGTGATGAGGAGGACAGCGATGACTCTGAGGGAGAGAACCAGGAGCTTGCTCAGATCGACAGAGGTAAAGGGACAAGGGAATAAAGAGCATAAATCAAGGCTGCCATGGTGGAAGTGCGTTTTGCCTTGCCCCTCTGTCCTGAAAGAGACTTGCCTTCCAGTTTATATTATCCCTCCTGCACCACAGCCAGTTCTACTGTCCCGCCCGCATCTCCGTAGTGGACGCTTTGTGGATGCTCCCATCTCCATGTACATCCTCCTTAGCTTGACAACCTTTCCTCAGGAAGCCCTATGGGGCTGCTGGAATCAGCAGGGGTTGTAAACAGCAGCTCACAAGGGTATCAATAGAAAGGATCCTTCTTAAGCTCCGTGTACATGAACAGGTCCCTGCCAGTGTACAAGTACACAATGGGACTAATTTCAGTTGTTCTATTCGAGTGGCTTTAAGCCAGTCTTGCACCCACATATTCTGAGACTATGCGTAGACCTGCTCAGCCCCAGAGTAAGTCAGAGCAGCCTTGAAGTCAGTGGGACTACTCACATCAATGAAATTGTGCAAGTGTTTGCAGGACCAAGGCCACAGTTCTCTAAGCTGTTCACTAAGGGTACGTCTATACTTACCCCCGGGTCCGGCGGTAAGCAATCGATCTTCTGGGATCGATCCCGGAAGTGCTCACCGTCGACGCCGGTACTCCTGCTCTGCGAGAGGAGTACGCGCAGTCAACGGGGGAGCCTGCCTGCCGCGTCTGGACCTGCGGTAAGTTCGAACTAAGGTACTTCGACTTCAGCTACGTTATTCACGTAGCTGAAGTTACGTATCTTAGTTCGAAGTGGGGGGTTAGTGTGAACCAGCCCTTAGGGCTTGTCTTCACAGGGACCTAGCTACCGCCTCTCGGGGAGGGGGAATAATAACAGCAATGGGAGAACCTCTCCCGTCGGCGTTGGTAGTGTCTACACTGAAGTGCACAGCGGCACAGTTGCAGTGGTGCAGCTGTGCCATGGTAGGATTTCAAGTGTAGACAAAGCCCTTAATTCTCCTTTAAAAGGAGTGAAGATAAAGTGAACGAATTCCTCTTTACTTCTGAATGAGGCCATCCACATGGCGGGGTTCATGCACTTTAACTTCACACCTTTAGTTAATTCAATTGAGTGGCCCTGTGGAGACAAGCCTTAAGTATCATTAACCTCCTGTTATGGGCAGGGAAACAGTAGCTCAGGGAGGAGAAGGTCTCCGGGCAGGTCAATGGCAGAGCTTAGAACCCAGTCTTCTGGCTTCCAATCCATAGCCCTATCTACTGGACAATGCTTTCTCTTCATAAGTTTCAGATAACAGACCTAGTTTTTATATAATATCATGTTACCCACAAAAAACTACATTAAAATAACATGATTAATGTTGCCAAGTCTAGCTCTCAGAAGTTAGGAAGTGTTAGAAGTAAGGTTTCCTGTGCTACCTAAAATCAGACCTCTTGGGGGTATGCATTAGGAGACCGTTTTTAATTACATGAGCACATACTGTTTTTTTTCCACAGGACCCGTGGATCACTGAGAGCCCAGAATGTACAATGCTCACTGAATGAGAGCTCTTCAATATTTTGTTTTCTCGTCATTGTTGAGTTGTTTATTTACTGCACACTGTTCAAACCCTGCTGTGAAGACACAATGATTCATTTCCTCCTGGGTTTTTCTATGGTGCTCATCACTACAGTATCGGAGTGCTTCACAAAGATTAATGAATTTATTTTCCCAACACACCTGTGCCCCATTTGAGATACATAATACTTGATTTTTCAGAGAACTTATCATTGTATAGCACTTTCTATATCCAAAGCACAGCTGCCATTGGGATGAGCGCTCACTTCTGCAGATCACATCCCAGGTTTTCAAGTCAGGCACCCAGAAAATGAGGAACATTTAATTCATGGCCACCTGTGGAAAGTTTGGTTGAAGTGATTTGCCCAGCACCACATAGGAACTCTATGGCAAAAGCAGGGATAGAATCCAATTCTCTACAGCAGCGTTCAACTGCCTACATCATGAGTTCATTCCTTCTCCTTCCTCTGCCTCACTCACTACACACCTGATTCTGTTGGAGTGACTTTTAGCCACTCTTGCACTCCACATACGAGGCAGGAGTTGTACAGGCCGCAGTCTCCTCCTTCACTACACAACCATGATTCATCTCCAGAGCATGGTCCATCCTGTGCACTGAATGATGCAGGGTCCTGTGGAAAAAATAGTATACGCTCATGTAATTGAGACCATCTCATAATGCATACACCAAGGGGGCTGACTTAAAGAAACACAGGCAACCTTACTTCTGGTGCTTCCTGACTTTTGAGAGCATGACTTTGCAACCCTTCATATGGTTCTTTTCATTTAGTTTGTTCTGGGGGTTCCATTTCATAGGTTTTCTAAAAAGAAACGGAGAAAATAGAAATTCCATCATGTGGCATCAGATTGACACTCATGTGGATCAGCAGCAGGGTGGAACCTTGAGATCCACCAGTGAGACCACTGCCACATGAGCTAACAAAGTAACGGGTAGTAGTAGCAGGTTGCCGTCCTCTCTGTGGACCAGCACTCGATGGGGATGAGACATATGGCCAATGGGTTTCACAGATATTTGCTGACAGAAGAGGGTGCATCTTGGGTTCCATTCCAGGCTCTAGAGGGGATTCTAGACTCTTCTGCCCATTTCCTCCCAAACTTGACCCCTTCTACCCCATACACTCCAGCCTGTCCCAGTCCTGCCTCTTCCCCGCTCTGGCTCCTTGCCCCACCCCTTTCTCCTCACCTAGCCAATCCCTCTCTCCATTTCTCAGGCTTCTCATTCCCTCTCAAGTCTGCTTGTCCAGCAAGTCTTAGTCTCATCCCTCCAGATTCCTGTCCCACACCCCATCTCCTTCCCCACTCTTTTCTTTCTACCAGCTGCCTGTATCAGTCTTCTTGCCTAACCATTCCCAGTTTCTTCTCCCAGCAGTTGCCAGTCTTCTTGCCCAAATAGTCCCAGTTTCCACTTCTCCCAGACTCCTTGTCCTTACTCCTTTCTGCTCCCCATCTCTGAGGTCTGGCTCTTGGCCCCTCTGCATTTGAACAAGCAGCTTCCATCTCCACCATGTCTGGACCCAGCAGGGGATCACTGAGAGCTCTCAGCTCCAGGGCATGGTCCACAAGTGCAAGGGAAGTCTTGCTCAGCCCCAAACTGGAGCAGGCCCAGTGCAATGGAATCTCTGGAGAATTTAGCTGCAAAACTCTAGCAAGCCTCTGCTGAGCTTCTGTTAATTGATTTTTTTGGAGGGCCAAATTTGGGTGGATTTTTATGGGGATAGCAAAAGGCACATCCCTGACATAAAGGGTTCCCCATGCCAAATTTTAACTCCCTGCTCTGCAAAGGCACTAGAGCTCAAAGAAAAGGTCGGCAGAATTTTTTAACACTGGCAAAACAAATGTGTTTTTTCCTAGCCTTGTTCTTGGAAACCAGTTAACCATTTTGGCTGAAGTTTTCCGGAAACATTCAGCCTGAGGTAGACGCCTGGCATGGAAAATTTTAGCACAAATGGTTAATGTTTGGCAAAGTTATAAGCAACTGAAAACAGATCTTATAATGGAGTGTTCAGCAGCTTTAATAATTGGAGGGGGGTTGGTAGCGCACACGTAGCTCAAAAACACTGCTTCGGCTGTTAGAGTCTCAGGAGAATTCCTTTAAATAACACTACTTGTAAGTCCCATATCGTCTCACAGAGTCAGCCACTAGAAGGCAACGTCATCCACTTGTTCTCACACACAAAGCCAGCACATTACATAGGGACCCAGCTTTTTAATAGATTCAGGTGCTGAAATAACTGGTGTGTCAATATACTTGCTGTACAGTCTGTGTCCAACTGGTGGTTCTCTGGCTGGGGTCCAGTGAGCCAGCTTAAAGCTGAGCTGTGATCTGTGGACTTCCAGCCATATGCTAATGAGCAATTGAAGTGGTTATTTGGAGGATCAAGGAGGGGTGATCAGAAGCTAATAGGCCTGATTGTATAGCAGGTGTGATTCACACCTGTCCTACCACTCACATTTCTCCTCCTTCCCTCAGAGAGAAGACGGAATTGCACACTGACCCCTCTTGCGACCAATCAGCTCCAGAACCAGGAGAATCAATGCTGTAAGGTCCGGGCCCTTTTCCATGCTAGCTTGGATCGCCACAGCTCGGAAGAGGAATTGGAGCGCATCAACCGAGAGTTTGCCACCGAGAAGCGGAAGTGGTCTCAGGTCAGCAGGCTTTCTTGCTGTGGTGACAGCAACAACACGTCCTCCAGTGACGAGGAAGTGAAGAACTTGTGCGGCATGTCCTTCCGGCCCGTGGTGGAACAAGCCGATGGTCTGCATGCTAGCCCCAGCCCAGTGCTGTTCAGTGCCTCCCCTCCTAAGAGACTCCAGCCCTTGGTGCGGAACCCAACCTCCAGGCCTCTGATATTCACAAGTGTTGGGGCCGGCTTTGAGCAAGTCATGCCTTGTAAGAGACACCGGCAAGGCTACGGGGACAAGGTCAGCAGACCCAGCCTTGACCTGGAAAAAATGCAGCAGGTAAGTCAGCTTCACACAGGAAAAGTCAGCAATTCACAGGGAAGAGGCAATGCTTGATTTAGTTCTCAATTGAGCATGGGGATCTGGTCCAACAGGTGATTATAACTGAACCCCGCTTGGTAATAGCGACCATAATATAATTACGTTTAACATCCTTGTGAGGGCGGGAGGGAAAAGCTACAGAACACCACTGCAGCAGCATCTAACTTCAGAAAGGGGAACTACACAAAAATGAGGAGGCTAGTTACATGGAAATTAAAAGGAACAGTCACAAGAGTGAAGTGCCTGCTAGCTGCATGGAAACTTTAAAAAAAACACCATAATAGAGGCTCAAATTAACTGTATACCCCAAATTAAAAAGAATAGTAAGAGGACCAAAAATGCCACCATGGCTAAACAACAGAGTAAAAGAAGTGGTTAGACGCAAAAAGGCATCCTTTAAAAATTGGAAGTCAAATCCTACTGAGGAAAATAGAAAGGAGCATAAACTTTGGCAAGTCAAGTGTAAACATATAATCAGGCAGGCCAAAAAAGAATTTGCAAAGCAACTAGCAAAAGACTCAAAAACTAAGCAAAATTTTTTTTAAGTACATCAGAAGCAGGAAGCCTGCCAAACAACCAGTGGGGCCACTGGATGATTAGGATGCTAAAGGAGCACTTAAGGGAGACACGACCATTGCGGAGAAGCTAAATAAATTCTTTGCATTGGTCTTCACTGCAGAAGATGTGAGGGAGATATCCACAACTGAGCCATCTTTTTAAGTGACAGATCTGAGGAACGGTCCCGGATTAAGGTGTCAGTGGAGAAGATTTTTGGAACAAATTGATAAATTAAACAGTAATGTCACCAGGACAAGATGGTGTTCACCCAAGAGTTCTGAAGGAACTCAAATATGAAATTGAAGAAATACTAACTGTGGTATGTAACCTATCGCTTAAATCACCTTCTGTACCAGATGACTGGAGGATAGCTAATATGATGCCAATTTTTAAAAATGGCCCCAGAAGCGATCCTGGCAATTACAGACTGATAAGCCTAACTTCAGTACCAGGCAAATTGGTTGAAACTACAGTAAAGAACAGAATTATCAGAGACATAGATGAACATGATTTGTTGGGGAAGAGTCAACATGTTTTTTATAAAGGGAAATCATGCCTCATCAGTCTAATAGAATTCTCTGAGGGGTCCACAAACATGTGGACAAGGGTGATCCAGTGGATATAGCACACTTGGACATTCAGAAAACCTTTGACAAGGTCCCTCACCTAAGGCTTTTAAGCAAAGTAAGCAGTTATGGGATAAAAAGGAAGGACTTCTGATGGATCGGTAACTGGTTGATAGACAGGAAACAAAGAGTAGGAATAAATGGCCAGTTTTCAGAATGGAGAAGAGGGGTAAATAGTGGTGTCCCCCAGGGGTCTGTACTGTGTTGTTCAACATATTCATAAATGATCTGGGAAAAGGGGTAAACAGTGAGATGGCAAACTTTGCAGATGCTACAAAATTACTCAAGATAGTTAAGTCAAAAGCAGACTGAAGCGTTACAAAGGGGTCTCGCAAAACTGACTATGCAACAAAATGGTAGATGAAATTTGATGTTGATAAATGCAAAGTAATGCATATTGGAAAACATAACTATACATACAAAACGATAGGGTCTAAATTAGCTGTTACCACTCAAAAAAGAGATCTTGCAGTCACTGTGGATAGTTCTTTGAAAATATCCACTCAATGTGTAGTGGCAGTCAAAAAAGCTAATAGAATGTTAGGAACCATTAGGAAAGGGATAGATAACAAGACAGTAAATATAATGTCACTATATAAATCCACGATAGGTCCACATCTTGAATACTGCATGCAATTCTGGTCGTCCCATCTCAAAAAAGATATATTAGAAATAGAAAAGGTACAGAGAAGGGCAACAAAAAAGATTAAGGGTATGAAACAGCTTCCATTTGAGGAATTATTAAGAAGTCTGAGTCTATTCAGTTTAGAAAAGAGATGACTAAGGAGGGATGTGATAGAGGTCTATAAAATCATGAATGGTGTGGAGAAAGTGAATAAGGAAGTTTTATTTACCCCTTCACATAACACAGGAACCAGGGGTCACCCAATGAAGTTAATAGGCAGCAGTTTTAAAACAAACAAAAGAAGTACTTCACACAACACCCAGTCAACCTGTGGAACTTGTTGCCAGGGGATGTTGTGAAGGCCAAAAGTATAACTGGGTTAAAAAAAGAATTAGAATTCATAGAGGATAGGTCAATCAATGGCTATTAGCCAAGATGGTAAGGGATGCAACCCCTTGCTCTTGATGTGCCTAACTCTGACTATCGGATACTGGAACTGGATGACAGGGGATGGGATCACTCAATAAATCGCCCTGTTCTGTTCATTCTCTTTGAAGCACCTGGCATTGGCCACTGTTGGAAGACAGGATACTAGGCTAGATGGACCATTGGTCCGACCCAATATGGCCGTTCTTATGACTTGAGAAGGAACCATTGCAAGCGGAGGGTAAATGGAGGCCTGGCTGTTGCTGAGGTAGAGGTAGTAACTCTGTACATTGCTTGACTTCATGTGAAGATCTCTCCAGTTGCATCATCAGTCCATCCCTCTTCTCCTCTCTAGAATTTTAGATCCGTGGCCAGCTAGGACTTCTTGTTTGAGGTAAAGGCTCCATTAGCTGTATTGACTCTGTGCGACACAGTTGAGCAGTCCTGATTTCCATCCATTAAGAGGGCGGAGGTGTCACAGCCATACTAGCCAGTTCATTGCACTATAGAGAGCCAGATTCAAATCGGCTGACTTCAGTGGAGTTATATCTACTATTTCCAGGTCTTAGGTTCACCCACAACATTCAGTTATTCAGGGGCAGGGATTATTGGTAGCCCAGTATTTTTTTTAAGTCTCATTGTATGAATAAATGTAGTTCTGTAAGTCAGACAATGTTGGATCCATTTCTAAAGTTTTTGGACTCTCGAGTCTACTTCTTCACTGACTCGTATGGGTTTTACTCAGGTGTAACTATTGACTTAAATGGCATTCCTCCTGATTTCACAATGTTGTATCTGAGCAGGATCAAGACATATAAATCACTGGATCTTGCACTGACTCTTACTGAGTATAAATAAACTTGGTATTTATGGGCTAAATAGATGTCCTGCTTCTGATATGATTGGCTGATCTGTTTCATGCCTGTTTGATCTGTCTCCTTTCACTAGAATATTATTCCAGTGTTGAGTATCTCAACTCTCACCTTATTTGCTTTTCTTCCTGCACTGATGTAGTGTCAAGTTTTAAAATCCCACCAGGTGGAAAATGGGTGTCAGATGCCTCTGGACATCTGGTGACCCCAGTAGAGTAAGGACAGAGCCTCTTATTTTAATTGTGAATTTCCTGCCTTCAGGCCTCTAACTCAGACTTTTCCTGCTCTGTTTTTTGCGTTGGTGTACTGAATTTAGCCTTGTTAACGAGGCCCGTTTTCGACTTGTCTGAGGGTCCCACCAAAAGGAAGATCAAATCTGTTCTGTATCTTTAAAAAAAATACGGAACAAAGGGCCCTTTTTCCCATTGTCTCCAAGACATCATTGCCCCTATCACAATAGCTGTCCCTCTCCACCACGGCTGGCATCATGTGCTCCATGAATGCATAATGCCCAGCCTCGTGATTTCAGCACATTACCCCCAACCGCCAGCCTCTCTGCCCTGCTCAACAAGCAATTAATGACAGAACATTCAGAGGGCCCAATCCTGTACTCCTGGTGCACCCAAAACATCCGCTGGTGCCTACAGAAGTGTTAGCTGTGCAAGGCTCACAGATCTGGGCCCTGCATAGTTAGAGAAGAAAAAATAGAAGAGCCAATGCACAGCTGAGCAAAATACGTCAGTTTCGGGAGGTGTGTGTGTATGGTTGGCGGGACGGGGACCCTTTCTTGAGACCTGACACACGTCTTTAATCTCGGAGTCAGAGGCATGAATTGATTCTTCCCACGGTCGCTGCGCAGCACCATGATTACGAGAGTTCGTTGGCAAAGGGTGAACTTCAGAAGGGTTGGAGGCTCCTTCGATTCAGCTTCCCAAGCTGCTGAGGCTTTTCAGAACCCATGAAGTGGAGGAGGGGAATCTTGCAGAAACAAGCTTCTTCCTGGTACTTCCTGCTTTCAGCGAGGATGGAAGCTCCACCAGACAGGCCTTTTTCACAGTAGTTCCTCTCTGCTCGGATCACAGCATGAGAACTGGAAAAGAAGAGTAGGCTGGAATTATTTTGAACAAGACGTTTTTGTTTTTTTAATGAAACATTTTGCAAATTGCTGTTTTAGAATTTTTTTGTGGCTCTCTTCAAAGAAATTTTGATTGAGAACATTATTGACGCTTTTCATTTTCAGAAACCCCAGGTTTTGGTAAATGAAAAACTTCAATAATGGTTTTGATTTAAAAAAAAAAAAAAGGGTGGGGAGGAATAAAGATGGGTCAGTCCATCTTGACTCCTGCAAAATGGAAACATTTTTGAATTTTTTCACAATTTTATTTTGAAAAATATTGAACATAAGTTAACCAAACACTTGCAGACGTAGAGCTTCATGATCACAGCCTAAAAGGGCTGCCTGGCCTCTAATTTATGCCCTCATTGGTTGCTGCTTGTGCCCAGTTCTGCAGGACAGACCCAAGTCTAGGGGAACTCCCCTGTGTTCTGAGGACTAGTCTAAAGGCACCATTGAAGGGTGGTTACTGCTAGAAAAATCAGTATAGAAGTAACATGATTGTGTGGACTGTTGAGGCCATGTCTACACTACAGCTACTACAGTGGCTCAGATACGGCGCCATACACTTCCTACAGCAATGGAAGGGGATTTTCCATCACCTCCATGAGTGGCAGTACCTACGCTGACGGAAGCATTCTTCTGTAAGCCTAACCGTGTCTACACTGGAGGTTAGTTGACATAGCTATGGTGCTCAAGGGTATTTATTTTTCATGTGCCTGAGTGCTGTAACTGTT